ATGGATATGTTCTTCACAACAGGAGAGAACACATTATTGAAGTCGACACCTCTTTCTGAGTGGACCCCCTAGCAACCAATCTTGCCTTGTATCTCTTCGACGCCACTCATTCGATTCCTTCCTTAACTTTGAAAATCCATTTACAGCTGACTAAAATGGCTCTAGTAAGTTTCTTAATCAGTTCCCAGGTGTTGTTATCATGAAGAGATTTCATCTCATCATCCATGGCCTTCAACCATTCAATCTTCTTTTGACTCCTCATAACTTCCTTATAGTCTCTAGGTTCTTCGTCTAGAACCTCACTTGTAGAGATTAAGGCATAACCTATAAGATCTACATACCCAAGTCTATGGGGTGGCTTGATGACTCTCCTCGACCTGTCTCTCACTAGCATATAGTCATTATCAGTCTCCTCATCTACGACAACATCTTATGCATCTTCTTCGACTTCATCTGGGATACGCAATTCAACATCAACATGCTTCACCTCAATAAGAATATCTCCATGTTCTAGCTCTTCGTCAGCATCATCAGTTTTCTTGAAAGTCATATATGCTTCATTGAAAACTACATCTCGATTGGTGACACACCTACCATGACTTGGCTCTAGGCACCATAGCCTATAAGCTTTGACTCCTTCAAGGTATCCTATGAACATGCATTTTAGAGCTCTAGGTTCGACCTTGTCTTGCCTAATATGAACATAGGCCATACAACGAAATACTTTCAGTCTATTGACAATAGGTGGATGTCCTGACCAAACTTCTTCAAGTGTCTTCATTCTTAAGGCAGATGAGGGACATGTATTTATCTGGTAAGCTGCTGTCGAAACAGCCTCCGCCCAAAACACCTTCTTCAATCCAACATTAACCAACATGCATCTAACCCTTTCAAGGATTGTTTGATTGAATATCTCCGCTATTCCATTTTTTTAATGAGTATCTGCTACAGTCTTATGCCTTACAATCCCATACTCAACACAGTAACTGCCGAACGCTTTGTTGTAGAATTCAAGGCCATTGTCAGTTCTCAACCTCTTAACCTTTCTGCCAGTTTGAGTTTCGACCAGAATCTTCCAACTTTTAAAATTCTCAAAAGTTTCATCTTTTGTCTTCTGAATGAATACCCATAGCTTTCTATAATAGTTATCAATGTTGGATAAAAAATAACTTGTACCTGAGCGTGAAGGATTCCTTGCAGGCCCTTAAACTTTGCCCTACAGGATTTCCCAAATACACAAGATTCACAAAACTTTAACTTTTCAACTTTGTCACCACCTAGCCGGTTTTGCTTCCCCAATTCGACAAGGCCTCTCTCACTGACACGGCCCAACCTCATGTGCCATAATTATGTTTTCGACACAGGTTTTTTGGATGCAACATTTGTCAAACCACTTACAACCTCGACCTCAAGGGTATACAATCATTGTTTCAAAAAGATTTAAACAGTGAAGAAAATTTGGATCCGTGTAATTTTGAAGCAGATTTGGATAGGTACTTGAAACATTTGCTTCAATTGGGTCCACAAATTCTCTTATAAGTAACTATTCAGGAATATCAATTTCAGCATATCCATCATTGGGTTCTAAGACCTTTCCATTACCAACTTGTAAAATCCAATATGAGAAGAGTCTATTTTCTTCTGAATTTCCTAAATTAGAACCACTTTGCAAATGCATGTTTTTGGTTATATTCATAACTTTGCAATTATCCCAAATGTAAGAGGCATTTATTGTTGCATGCACAATATCTGATCTAGTACCTCTTGGAACAACTGGTAGAATTTGTCTAAAATCTCCCCCAAAAATTACAACTTTTCCTCCAAAAATCTGCTGACACTCAACATCATCATCACTCATAATATCCTTCAATGACTTGTCAAGAGCTTCAAAACAAAATTTATTTGCCATTGGTGCCTCATCCCATATTATAAGTTTTATTACCTTTAGGAGATTAGCAAGATCAGATTTTTTCTTTATGTTACATATAGAAGATTCCAAACATGGAACTGGAATCTTGAATTTGGAATGTGCAATTCTTCCTCATGGTAACAAAAAACTTGCTATTTCACTAGATGCTACATTCAACACAATATCTCCTTTACAATGCAGAGCAATATACAATGTGTTCCACATGAAAGCCTTTCATGTACCACCATAACCATATAGGAAAATAACACTACCATTTTGATTTGTGACAGGATCCATAACTTCTTTAAAAATTTTAAGTTGCTCGTCTAAAATAAAAAACAAAACACCAATAAAGTTGCAACGTGAATACATTTTAAATAAGCAGAAGTGTGAAATTTTCAATTCTTGTGAACATCACGACAACAATGACCATATCAATGTGATTAACATTTATACTTATGTAGTTTTATGCTAATAATTATATACTTTCTTATAAGTCTAATGCTAAAATATAAAAGAAAAGCATAATATTATGAAGAAGCATAACGTATGAACTAAATTATTGTTTCAATAAATAATTTGAAGGTCAAATTATAAAAACAATACTTGTTAATGATTGAAACATAGTATGGAAGATTTCTTTTGGAACCGATGGATCATATTGTCTTTCATTATATATCAATGTATTTCTAAGGAAGTCAAGGACGTAATCATTTGGATATGGCATAAGCTTAAATTCTTTCAAACTCCTTCTATTTTTCTATAGCTGCTTCTCAATTTCCATCAAAGTGAGTTGTTGCATATCTTCATCTGACAAATTCAATTATACAAATAAAGGTAAAATTTAATTAAGTATTGATACTTTGTTAAAATGAACATGTATGGAATCTGAAGTGTTGTGACTAACATAGCTCTAAACAATAAGATGAAAAGGATAAAAGAAAAGATGATGTGACAAAGAAAAAGCAAATATATATTAACCAAACCAGATTTTGTGACAATATTCTTTGTTCATATAGAATACCATTTGATAGGTACATCCAAGTATTTAACTAAACATGTTTTGGTCGATTCAATGAACTCTTTGTCAACTTGTAGGAAGCCCGATACAAAACATACATCTCTAAAACTTTTATGTTTGAACCCGTCAATTGTCTTTAAATCATCATAACTTGTCGGGCCTTTCTTCATAGTAAAAAAAAATCCTTATATAATACAATTCTTCGATTGTTGGCAGGACCAAAATGAGTCGGCCAATTGTGTAACCTCTTTTACGCGGTTCCCAACACCTTTTCTTATTGTCATAAATAAATTTGGACACAAATTGACCATATGTTAATAACTTTGCTTCTTCATACTGAGTATTTTCCACAAACCAAGAAGTAAGCATTGATTATGTGACACTTGGTTTAAGAAGGAGAGTTCCAGTTTGTTTAAAATCTTTATAGTATACAAAATTCTCTCCTTCCATGTGAAAAAATAACCTTTCAACAACTGGTTTCCTACCATGAATTGAATAAGAGAAGATTCTCCAACATGTTTCGCTTGGTGAGACATATCGACAATCAAGGTATTGTTTGATTTCATCAATATTTCCATCAGTTCCATTGTTATTTGGAATGATAACAACTAAGATCCTATTAGAACCCTTGTTGATGTACTTGAAGAGATATTTAATTGAAGTACTTTGATTTCACCACTCCATATTAATATGTGCCTCATATTTCATTAGAAAACTTGGGTTGTAGAGTACAGCATGACCACTATGTAGGGTGACTCCATTCTTTTCAATTGGATTACCCTGATCTCTCCTTCTATAAATAGGATATCCATCATGATCAACAATTGTGACATCTTGGAACTTTTTAGGATAATACTTGGAACACTTACCATCTTTCATACAAGGATATCTAGGATTTTCTAACCCATAAGGACCATGCACCATGTGAGTTTTGATCAAATTATATAGTTTTGGTTGAGTCAAAGGATTAGGAACTTGAGTAGAAATGATTTTGTCTATGTCTTCAGGAGTAGGATATTTATTTAATGGATGCAAGAAGATAAGGATGTGTTCATGTAGAAGACCTATCTTTTAGAACTCAATTGTGTACATATCTAGAAATAAGAACAATTGTAAGATAAATATGTTGTAACATGAAATGTCTAGCTTGAAATGGCTAGATGATGTTAAAGGATAGTAAATTAAATTAATTTATATGAAATAGTAAACTTACATGCAAGAACTTTGCATAAGACTCCTTTTTTGGTCACATATACTAGAAGGTTATCAAACTTCATCTTAAAAACTCTTGCAATGATATCAGACCTATCTTGTGGCTTCAAATTTAGAGGACTAAGAAATATTTAAATTTTCGACCAATTCAGATTGCATGTGAAAGTAATGAAAATATCCAAAAATCCCACCTTACTACAAATAGTCATGCCATCATAATACAATTGATCCATAAATCTCCGACTTCTAACATAAGTAAAACCATTATTTTTCATATGCTTGATCCTTGTGTTTGATCTTGCTCTGCATGTAGACTTGTATACTTTGACACTCTTAACATGGATTAATTTTTTTCGATCCAATTCAATCTCTCTCCTTCAAGCATTGTGTAACCACCCACCAAAAACTATTGGAACAATCTTCTAGATGATAACAATGTTTTTACCTCATTACACCTGCTTTGTATTCTAAATGCTAGCCATTCTTGAATAGTAAGTCGGTTCCTTTGTGAGTCATTAAAAATATCAAGATCTCTATATGCAATGTTATCTCTATAACCATCCTCTCCATAAAGAAAAATAAAAGGATACTGGAATGCCAAATAACTTGGATGAAACTTATCAATACGTTGCATTTGTCCTCCTTTTGCCTGTATTATAATGTCTATTTCCTCAGCAATGTCTATGTCATCGACGATTAAAGAAGCTACTTCTGAAATAGTTGGTTGATTATACAATCTTCCATCAATAGATCTTGTAGATATTAATTTTAGTTTTAAGTTGTGAACATTGCCTTGATTAAGCTATTGTCTAGCCATTAAGAAAATTTTTGCATGTGTGTTATGTCTGTACAACATATCTAACAAGTTTTGGAATATATTGGGATGAATGTTGTTTTTGTCTCTACAAAAACATAATATATAAGTTAGTAATTTGTATGACAATAAGAATTGGTTAATTTAAAGAGAAACAATGTTTAAATACCTGAAAGTGTCCATTCTATTTGTAACGTCATTCTCGGTATCATATATGTATAGTTGGCAAATTTGGGTGGTTGGCCTTCAGGTGGCAGTAAACTTCCAATGTGGTGGCAAGCTTGACCTTGGATTCTTATTGTTGGTGGACCACGAACATTATTAAATTTGTTGTCCAACTTATCTCCCGGTGAAGTGCAAGCAAACATCATGTTGTATGTCCTTATGTGTGATTGAAAATTCTTACTATCCATGGCATTGCCATTAAACAGGAGATGTGCTAAAGTTTGTGGAGGATATTTTAAGAATGGAAGTTCAACTTTACCATTCCCACAACATGCAAAAATTTGGGATTCGTAGGATGTTTGGGTTTGTGCATCCTTTATTGATACCACATCATGACCTTACAATACCTATACTCAATCAAAGGGTCTTCCAAATCTCTATATGTTGTACATATTACAAAAGTTATCATTAGAAGTCATTAATTTTTCAAAAGATGGTATTTCCTATTCAAACTAACAACAAACAATAACAAACATAGTCAATGTTATAGTCATTGATATTCAGTAGTCAATGTTACAGTCATAGATAGTAAATGATTCTCGTAAGACATTAGTGGGAAAAAATTCAACCCTCAATGTGATAATAATTCCAAACAAAATCACTCTTGACAAAAAATTTATTGCCATTCAAAGTAAAAACAAACCAATAACAAACTAAGTGAACCTCTACCGAAGATTTATAAAAGATTTTTCAAAAATCACAAAACCTTTGACCGACCTGTTGATGAAAGATGCTGAGTTCGTCTTTGACGATGACTGTCTAAAAGCATTCGAAACATTAAAATCAGCCCTTATCACCGCACCGATTATGCAACCACCCGATTGGCGACTACCGTTCAAAATCATGTGCGATGCGAGTGATTATGCCGTAGGCGCAGTTCTAGGACAAAGGAAGGACAAGAAACTCCATGCCATTTACTATGCCAGTAGAACCTTAGATCCTGTCCAAATGAACTACGCTACAACAGAAAAGGAATTTCTAGCAGTTATATTTGCGCTTGACAAATTCCGTTCTTACTTAGTAGGAGCCAAAATAATCATATACACCGACCACACTGCCATTAGGTACCTAATAAGCAAAAAGGATGCCAAACCAAGATTATTGAGATGGATCCTGTTATTACAAGAGTTTGACTTAGAAATCAAAGATAAGAAAGGAACCGAGAACGTTGTTGCAGATCACTTATCCCGAATAGAAGGCATCAAACATGAACCAGTACCGATAAATGACGATTTTCCGTACGAACATCTGATAGCCAAATTAGAAAGTGACATGCCTAACTTAATCTCGGAAGATCCAGAACTCGAAAAAGCCGTAGAAGCCGTCTATGCCCAAGTCACATTACCTTGGTATGCTGACATCGTTAATTACCTAGCTGCAGGCGTGCTTCCACCGGATCTCACTTATCAGCAAAAGAAGAAATTCTTCCACGATCTGAAACACTATTATTGGGACGAACCTCTACTCTTCAAGAGAGGGGCCGACAACATATACCGTCGCTGTGTCCCAGAGGAAGAAATAGAAAATATCATTTCCCAATGCCATTCAGCACCATATGGTGGTCATGCTAGTACATCCAAGACGTGCGCTAAGATTCTCCAAGCCGGCTTATTCTGGCCTAACCTCTGGAAAGACGTTCACATCGCTGTGCTAAAATGTGATCGATGCCAACGAACTGGCAACATCTCACGACGCGATGAAATGCCTCAGAAGGGAATCTTAGAGGTAGAAATCTTTGAAGTATGGGGAATAGATTTCATGGGACCATTCCCGCCTTTTTTTGGTAATAACTACATACTCGTCGCTGTGGACTATGTGTCTAAATGGATAGAAGCCATTGCTGCTCCAACAAATGACGCACGAGTAGTAATCAAACTCTTCAAAAACACAATCTTTCCTAGATTCGGTGTACCCAGACTCGTCATTAGTGACGGCGGATCACACTTCATATCGCGAATATTTGATAAACTTCTTTCTAAATATGGAGTCCGACACCGAGTAGCTACACCCTATCATCCGCAAACTAGCGGACAAGTAGAGGTCTCGAACAGGGAAATAAAACAGATATTGGAAAAGACTGTCGCTACCTCACAGAAAGATTGGTCATCAAAGCTAAATGAAGTTTTATGGGCTTATAGGACCGCTTTTAAGACACCAATAGGTACTACACCCTACAAATTAGTTTACGGTAAATCCTGTAATCTCCCTGTAGAATTAGAGCATAAGGCCTTCTGGGCCATTAAGACACTTAATTTCAACTACACCGAGGCAGGAGAAAAACGAATCTTGAACTTACACGAATTAGAAGAACTTCGATTGGACGCTTACGAAAATGCCCGTATCTACAAAGAACGAACTAAAAAGTGGCATGATAAACGGTCAGTCAAGAAACAATTCAGTGTGGGAGACATCGTACTACTATTTAATTCAAGATTAAAACTCTTCCCAGGTAAACTAAAATCTAGGTGGTCTGGACCTTTTGAAGTGACTAAAGTACTTCAGAGTGGAGCTGTTGAAATTACCGATAAGACGAATGCACCGTTTATCGTAAACGGGCAACGTCTAAAACATTATAATAAGAACGAAAACAGCCCTCAAGTCTGCAGTATAGCATTGCTTGAGCTTCCAGCTCAAACACCCGAATAGCTTGTCACCAAGCTATCGTCAGGCTTTAGACGTTAAAAACAGCGCTTACTGGGAGGCAACCCAATTTTCCCGTATTTCCTCGTTACTGTATTTCATTCTCATTTTTATTTAAAATTCTACTTTGAAACTTTAACAAAAATTCTAAACTTAAAATTGCTACTATTTTTACTTTCTTTTATTTTAATTATTTTATTTTATTTTTCTCTTTTATTTTTTGTTTCTACCGCTTTTGTTTTTAAAAATCCTGACTTCAAATTTCTGTTTTAAACTTTTCAGGATTTTAAAAGTCTTCAAAACCTTCCTCCTGTTTTTCTCCGACTTACCTGCGAGTATGACCACGTACGACTTCACAAAGGTTCATTTTCGAGGATTAGCTCAAAAGGCAAGATTTGAAGCATTAACTGAGAGAGAAATAGCCTTAACATTGTATTATGATAAGTCTACCATGGAGAAACTAGGAATTACTGATAGCATCCAATACTTGTTTAATCAATTGGGCTGGGAGAACACTGCTTTGAAAACCCATTTTTCTACCTATAAAGACCTCACCTACGAATTCCTTAGTTCCTTCAGGTACTTACCCAACTATGGTTTTGGATCCAACACAGAGCTGATCACCTTTAGGATGTTTGGAATGGACCAAACCCATAGCCGGATGTCATTAGCTAACCTCCTAGGATTTCCTAGCGGACCACATGTGTTCATCAGTGCCGAAGATGACGATCTAGATTTTGAACTCAACCAGTTCTGGGGTAGAATCACAGGCGACTATCACCCTGACCCAAACAGCATGTATAATGATGAGATTCATAACCCAGCTTTCAGATACTTTCATAAGATTCATAACCCAACATGGTATGAAGGAAGTTTAAATCGAAACACACGGTAATGACCTGAGAACGAGTCTACTAACAAACAGGAAAATTGAATTGTAAAAAACAAACAATTATGAGATTACAATCCATTAAATAAAACTAGACATCACAATGAAAAGGTTGCAACAAGAACGGGTTGAAACTGATAAACAAAGAATAAATTATGAATATTTGAAGTTGATTGATTTTATGGCAATAAAATAAATAAACAAGCAAATAAAAGAAAGGGGCGTGGGTTGAAACTGATAAACAAAGAATAAATTATGAATATTTGAAGTTGATTGATTTTATGGCAATAAAATAAATAAACAAGCAAATAAAAGAAAGGGGCGTGGGTAGGGATTGAAACCATGCCCTTATGTTTACCAACATAACTTCCTAACCAACAAGCCACTGAACGCGCGCTGTAAGGAAAGTGAAAGAAAAGAAGAAAATAATTCAATTACAATTGAAAAATAAAATGCCCAAAAGAGTTGATCCCAAGGATCGAACTCATGGCTGGCAAGTGAAAGGGTGATATGCGCGCAAGTTGGTTACCACTGGGGTGGCTGTACATCCAAGTACAAAGCCACCCCCACAAATAGATAAGGCTACTCATGGTGGATTTTCTAGGCCAAACACAAACCAAACAAACCACATGCGTGAAGGATTCAAACTCTGTCAATTCTTAATCATTTTTCGTGAAATTTTATCCAAACCTGACTGTTTTTTAACAAGGAATAAGATGGTGCCAATGAAATTTTAAAATAATGCCTTGAAATGGAAACATGATAGAAGATGCAAGTTTTGGTGATTGGGTTGCATTTTGAAAACTATCATCAGCTATGAGTTCAAATACATCAAAAATATAATGCACACAAGTCATATATGTCATAATAGAAGTATTGCCCATCTAGGGCTCAAACATAAACCTAAAGAATGGAAAGTGGTACATGAGTTGCAACTGTGGTGTGAAGACAAGGCAAACTGTCAAGGCAAACACATTGGCATTTTTGAGATGCAACTTGATGCAATTAAGAGTAATGGCAGATGTGAACAAAATAGAATCATGATTATGAATGAGTTCAAGTAGTGATACCAAACAAAACAGTGTTGAATCAAAGGAGGGCATATCAAATTGCAATTATCTTGCTGTTCATAATTTACACAGAGGCCAAACATGGATGGAACTCATTTGAAATCACAACAGAACCAAAACTTTAACCAAAACATTTAGAATGCAAAGAGAATACAAGAAGATCACAATCATGATGCCAAGGTAAGACACAAAATGCAACTGTCATGCCAAGTAAAATGAAAATAGAAATAAATGCAATTTTGAAATCCAAAGTCATGTAGTAATTGCAAACAATTTGACTAGGCCTATCTCACAGACCCAAATCATGATATAAAGTGTGCCTATACTTCAAAATTTCTCATAAACAACATAGAACTGAAAATCACACATCAACTACTCACTTAGGCATGAAAATGCACAATTTGAAAAGTAACATGATTGGAACAGAATGAGATTCAAGGGATACCACATACAAGTCTCAAATATGATTATGAATGAGTCTAAACCTCGAGTTGATCATGAAATGTGATAACACGAAATCGTATATATATATATATTGATGCATAAT